AAATTGCATCTTCTCCATCTTTGACTACAGAACTACTAGGCAGTCATTCTAAGCCCTGATTTTTTAGGTATGGGCACACTCACCTAATATCAAACAGTGTTATACGGCTTCATTTTGCGTTCACAATCTCAATGAATTTCATGCTTTCATCAATAGCTTCCAAAGCTGCTTTTGATCATTTCCAGCACTCCTGTTTATGATTTTACGTTCACGAAACAATCGCAACTCCGCCGTTGCCAGTTCCAATCCCAAATTTTGGCTGAAGACTGTGGAGAAACCTCCGTTAAAGTTCGCCACCTGCAAATCATGGTACTGACGTCATCGCAAATTACAATGGCTCGTTCATCGCCCGGATTACCAAGGATCACGAAGGCTCTTAGCGGACTGAGACAGACTGCGAAAAGTCGACGATCAGAACCGGCTCACCCCGTTATGGCAGCAAGAGGTACAGCAACATAACAACGGTTGACTAAGACCGACAGAATGACGACGAAGATACCAGTCGGCAACGGAGTCGCTACCCGTTCTGAACGGAGGAGGCACAGAACGATTCCATTATAGCACGTCAGAAAAGGCTTCACGAGAACGGCACCACCACCAATGGGAGCTTAAAGGCGGACATAGAAACTTACCCTCACTCAGAGGGACTGAACAAGAGTTAGGTGATAAGGACATAAAGTACCAAATTGCGACATTGTTGGACTCTCGTCAACGAAGCGCCAAGGCTCTGGACTCTTAAACCTCGGCGGATGGAAGCTATTCTACTCAGGCATCGATATCACGACGCGCGCTCTGGCCGGTGTTGACGTTCACGTAGAACCCAACCTCGCAGATAGAATTATTGACTGGAAGCCTGTCAGCGGAGAGGTGGCAATCCTCCGACTGAAACTAGAACAGGTGGAAGTGTTACAGGTCTATGCGCCCAATTTAGCAGGGAGAATATGATACCTTCCTTGAGGAACTGTGCTCTGCCAGAAGTGCCGAATACAGAGTCCCTCTTACTGATGGGGATTTTAATGCGTATGTCGGAGTGGACGCTGGGAAGCGGAATTGAAAAAAAACGGCACTAGCGACCTCAACAGTAACGGCGTGAAGTTATGGCGGTTTTGTGCAAACAGTGGATTGTTCTTCGTGAACACCTTCTTCGAACATCGAAAAGCTGGTACCGAGAAGTTTGCCCACAGACGTCGATCATCGAGTTGATAATCGTATCGTCTGACCTAAGACGCTCAGTAATGGATGTTCGTGTTAAAAGAGGCGCAGAGCTATTCAACCGATCACCGCCTTGTTGTTGGCACGCTGCGCTGTAAGAAATGGAGTAACATACGAAGATCCGATGGCAGAAGCAACCGGAGAATTAAATGGGAAACATTAACATTAAATTGTCTTCGGTGGACACGAGAGCGAAAATTGCAAACATCACACAATGTTTTGAACAGCTCCCGGTGATGACAACTGCTGTTGAAACCGAGGGGCAGCTCAATAAGAGCGGCATACTCGAGGCTGCCGCCGAATGCTGCGGATATAAACGGGTTGGCCTGCCGCCTGGAGATCAGAAAAGGTCTTCATGGTGGACACAACAACTGGCAGTAAAACAAGAAGTACAACTGGCAAATAGAGTGAAGAACGCGACGTTAAAGAAATGGCTAGGAAACAAAGGACCTTCTGCTCACGTGTGATATGTCGAGGCACGCAAGGTGGTAGCGAAGGCAGTGGCGAAAGCCAAAGCCGATTCTTGGGAGAAGTTCTGTTAGGTGCTGGAGTCGAATTTCAACATGGCAAACATGGTATTTTGGCAGACCATCCGGTGGCTCCGAGGTAAAATGTAGGGCAGTCTACAAGTTTTGAAGGACAGGTCTGGAACCGTCCTACCAACGATGAGAATATTCTTTGGTGTTGGAGAGAATACTTCGAGAAACTACTTAATCACGCGCAACCGCAAAGAGACTCGCCTGTAGAGCAGACGGGTACAGATATTACTATCTCTGTAGATGAAATTACACAAGCTGTGAAAAGCTCGAAAAATGGAGAAGCTGCTGGAATTGGTGAAATGCGACGTGAAATACTCAAAGCAATAGGCGAGCAAGGCATTTAGTGGTTTACACGTGTTTGGGAAAGTGAAATGGCTACGGGGAAGACATAAACGGATTGGAGAATGGGGTTTCATGTACAGCTGTTCAACAAGGGATATGGGGTGCTGCAACTTTCTGCGCATTTATTAAGCCTCCCAGGTAAAGTTTACGTAAAGGTGCTAAAAAGAAGGTGCCGCCGAATATCAGACTCCAAGTTAAAAGAAGTGCAGTGTGACTTCCGGCCCGATCAAAGTGCTTCTAAGCATATATTCGCCCTGTGCCGGATTGTAGAGAATCCACATTGAAACGAAGTTTGCCCATCGATGCGCATATACTTTGCTGACCTGGAGAAAGACTATGATCGCGTCCCGAGCAACAATCAATGGGCATGCCTACATGAAGATATGGGATGGCTCGGCCATCCAATCACTATATGCTAATAGCAGGTG